GAGCCATGAGTCACGCTGTAATTACGAAGGAACCGTGTATGCTCTGATGCTCCTAATAATGAGATATTGGCTAATTAGTTACCCATCACACTCGGCTGTCAACGACGTGACGAGCAGTTGAGGAAAACGAAACTCAGCGGGAGGCGAACGCTGATCACAACACTGTGTGCGTGAGAAGGCTTCAGGGATGCTAGATGGGCTGCAATAACTCAAGACACTTAGTTGTGATGTGCCTAACTGATTCCTCGTTGATTACAATGTTTGTTCCTCCTCCGGAGAGTGCTAAAGGTCGCCTACAGTTGTGTGCCGCTGGGGCTTAACGGGCAGCTGCAAGCAAACAGTGCCGCATTCAGAGGTTCGGCCCGGCTGTGCTCGCACGGCAGTTTATTAAAAGATTACATCGGGGCTCGCACCACGCTGTATGATTAATTAACCTTGACTGATGCTTTGTCAGGAGGAACCCAGCTGATACCCACAGGTCTCCGTGTAGGTACACGTGGGAAGGTTGAAGGCATCTCCATGGTTAGTTAGAAAACAAAGCTCGGCCCGGATTAGCATGAGACCCGTCCTCTCGTCCTTCCCGGCGAGCGATGCTCATACTTGTCCAGACGCTGAAGCAGCTGCACGGTTTTGTCTTCCTAAACTGACATCTTGCTTCCCCCCCGCACCTCTCTGATCACCTTTGGCCACAGACCAGGATTTGACAGAATCGTCCCCCTGACCACCGGGTAGAATCTGCATATGCATACAGTTTGTGGATCAAAGGGGAGCCGCCACAGGAAAGGGGCTCGGTTGCTTGGCTTCAGTCCCCTTGGCGTCGGTGGTACGAGGAGGAGCAGCGCTATGCTGACGTAACCCGCAGTACAGGCCCATGAATAAAACATGGCCACTATTAGTGCTTAAAGGACACTTCTGCTTTCCAGTTTGAATCAGGAGATGTGTTGCAGTCTATATGCAAACATTCCCTTTTGAGGTCATTTCTGTGTGCTTTCATGCTTTTATCACACTGGAACATGTATTAGCGCGCAACCAAATGGGCTGAGCATTGGCGCACAACCACACGCAACAACAACAACAACAACAAATGAGCTGCTTAAGACGTTCCCAGAGAAACCCGGAAGCACGAACTGTTTATATTTTCAACACTTTTTTATTAATATGTGCCGATACAAGGTCGCTGTGACCTGCGATGACGCAAACACTCACAAAAAAAAAATCATCCCCTTTGGCCCAGACAGCTGTCAATGCAACGAGCGTGAGAAAATAAATTAACATTATTCCTCAAAGAAAAATAGAAACAGAATCAAGGGGTTATATTGACCTTGGTTTACAAATGTCTCAGCATATAAATGATGTATTTCATAGAAAAGTCACAGAAAGCGCTGACAATGGTGCTAGAAGTAAAACCCTACGTGACACAATATCAGCAGTTCATTGTTTCTACCAATGCCTACAACCTGTAGAACCACTATTTCAGAGACGTCCAATACTGCCCAGGTCCTACTTATTACAGCCTAATTATTACAGCCCTCAGCTGACACTGAGAATACCCCACTCACACCTGTTATAGCCAGCGATTCTACCTCTTGTGACGGACACGGACCGTCTCCGGCAGCGTGTCCTTGACCGTCGCCATGGGCGACCACGTGATGGCAGCCACAGTTCTGCTCCTCCCACGGTGTCAGCGGTGGGGGGAGCCCCTATCTCCCAGGGACGGGGTATGTCTGTGGGACAACCGATACTTTACCTTTGGTTGGGGCCCTGGGGGTCTCTGTGGGCAGTGTGCCTCACAGGATTTGGTAGAAGCCCTTCTTACACCCCCCCCCCCCCCCCGATGTCAGTCCCACCCTGTGTGTAAAAGATGGCCTGAAAGTGCTGGCACAGCTCCCCACAGCACACATGTTCAACACAAAAGAGAAACGCCATAATCCTCATCACTGGGTTTATGCCATACCTCTAAATATTCTTAAAACAAACTCTATATTTATTCAGTATTCATGTGAACACGCAGCAACAGAACAATAACAAAATAGTAGTACTTTATCATTGCTTACATTTGCACTTCAAAAATCTGTATCGGAGAATCACCCTGTGACCTGTGCGAAAGAATCTCCCGTTGGATTCCTTTTCACATTTTCTTTATAAGGAAGCATCAATTAGACCAAAGAGAAATCCAGGCGTCTTTCTTCCTCCAGAGACAGCTTGATTCAATAAACAAACTCGGGATCTGAAAAGCCAGCTTTATCAAGTTAAAACAATAAAGTGAGGACCTCTGGAATGGAAACCACCAGCCAAAAAAGTAATCTGAAACCAAGCAGCACCATGAGTCTCCTTATCTCCAGATCCCAGCCTGCACCACCTGGCTGCGATCCCCCCGGTCGCCCCCTGCCCTCTTTGTCTCTCTCTCTCTAACTGCCCATGGCTACAAACGTGTGACATCTCTGTCTTTTTCGGACATAATGACCTCGTCTCCTCTCAACTGAGGAACCGATCTCCCTCCTGCCCTCCCGGTGTGAGATGGCTCACACAAATCACTGGTAGAAAATGAGAAAAAAAAAACACTGTCTGTGTGTGGAGGGGTCATCTGTGAGTAAACGGAAAAAGCCCGCCGGGACCTCCGCTGTCTGATGATAGACTCAACAACGCCACAGCTCACCCGCCGCCGACACTAAGCCGCAGGGGCGAGCCGGGCCCATCAAAGGTTGTCAAAGGTTGAGCGTCCCACCTTTTAAACAACTTCCCACTGGAGCACGCACAACACTTTCCAGCAGAGTATAGAAAAAAGGCCGAGGGCGGGTTCACTGTTGTAATTTAGTGCCCACCGTGTTATTATTGTAATCACAGGTTTGGAGGGCTTGAACGGCGGAGAACCTCCCACTGTGTGAACATGGGCTGCAGACCTTCTATAATCACTATCATTTACCACAGTAGAGCACTCCTCTGTTTATTGAGATATTAATCTGGGATAAACAAAGCTTTTGACAAAACAAATTAACATTCTCAAGGAAGTGCTGCACTAATGGGGGTCCATGGAGATTGATATTAAAAATGTGGGAGCGATGCGGGGGGAGAGTGAGGGAAAAGAAAGGGAGGAAAGAGGTGATGGAAAAAAAAAAAAAAGAACAAAAGCGAGGAGCAGGCCCAAGGTGACGCACATTCCTCCTCTCGAGGGGAAGTGCCTGTCTTAACAATGTCCCTCCCCAGGGGGGGGGGGGGGGGGGCGTCCCAGCTGAGCAGTAGATATCAGCATCAGCACATTATGTCAAATACAATGCGGGAGGGTTGGAGCTAACGATGATGCTGATGATGATGGGTATGATGATGATGATGATGGCTGTCTTGCGTTCCCCATTAACACTTACGCCCTGGATTGAATTGTGCCATCGTCACTCCTGCTTGTTAAAATACATTCAGTCGTCCTCATTTGACCCCCGCCGCCACCGAGCCACGAGATCCCGGCTTCACATTGTCCGGCGCCGCAGCGGAGCGGAATGCCCGCGCATTTTTGTCTTTTCATTTGTAAACACAGATTTAGCTCCCAGGTTAAGCTGCAAATCAAAGTCATGTACCATCAAAAAAGGCAGCGTTGCACACGTCCTCTGCGATGGTGTGGGGGGGCAGAGCCGTCTCCCTCAGCCTCATCGGGCTCTGTGGCACATACGAGCGATTTGAATAACAAGGATAAATGGTGGTGTATCCTTGTAATCCCTCTCTCTTATCTGTGGTTAACTCCCTCTTGCTCTTTCAGCCCCCGGAGCCGGAGCTAAAAGCCGTCCTCTGGGTTCTCTTAGAAGTGGGACAGCCAGGCCCTCTCTCCAAATGTCACACTGCAGTGGATGCATCTATTTTCTGCTCACGTTCCGTCCGCACATCACACTCTGCGCTTAGAGGTTTACGAGGGAGACAGTAAAAAAAAAAAAAAAAAACTCAGAAGGAATAGAGAACAAGGCCAGAAATAGATCAATGTGAATAAATATTCAAATAACATACAATAAAAAAAAGATAAATAAACCATAACAAATGCACCGTAGACGAAGGGAAGTTATTTTTAAAGGTCAGACGGATTTCAGCTGGATGAAAGGAGCCTCGTGTGCATCTCTCCCCTGACAGCTAATTTCTCAAACGTATCGCTTGCATAAGGTGGCATATTGGAAACATGTTCCCCTCGATCAATCAACCCCGCTTGTCATTTTCATGGTGTATAGTTATTGTCCGTCGCCCCCAGGCGGTCTGATTCCTCCCGTCATCCTTGTACCTATAAACGCCACGGCAAGAGCAACTTACATTTGGGCCGGAGAAGTATGCATTCCCCCTTTTTTGTTCGATGAGCATTCAAGTCATGTCACACAGAAGAAAACAATACAAAAAAAGCTTTGAGTGTGTTCACACACAAAGGACTGCTGCACCAACAGGACACAATCGGCCATTCTGACACATTCATACATCCACACTCTCACAGGAAATGAATGAACTGTCATGTGGATAAATGCTGATTCCATCCTGAATGCAATATTCTCTGATAGCTAAATAAACGTCATTGTGAAACATGCTGAAACCCATCAAACTCGTTAAAAGTATGTCATCTGTTTATATCTTCCAAATAACATGAGGTCAAAACCAAATCACTCTGTGGATGCTGCCGGTTCGCCCACAATGCTCTTTGGTGCCTGTGAGGCACACAATGACATTTGACAACATCTATGTTGCTTGCCTCACCCCCACCTCCCCGCAACCTTTGTAAATTCCACCATGGGAATGTCAAAGGTCAAACATTATCAACATGGAACGGATTATCTTACATAAAAACTGTGTGGGATATTTTTTTCTTTCTTTTTTTTTAAATTTGTATAAATAAGATCTACGACACATTTCCATTTGTCTCTCTCTGCCTTTCTCCCTTTTTCGTTGGAGGCACAGAAGAGCAACAGAGCGAGAGATCAAGCAACAGGGGAGAGAGAGACAGAAAGAGAGAGAGAGAGAGAGAGAGAGAGAGCTCATCATTCAGTTCACAAACTCCAAAACATTTTATTTTTTCTTTCGTTGGTTTGTTGCAGTACAAGAAGTCATTTTTCATAGTATTTGTTACTTTTTGTTGCTTTTGATCACTCCGGAGTCTTTATTTACATAGTAGGAATAAAGTAGATTCACGTGTGGCTCCTATGTACACGGCTTTACCAATCGGTCGACCAGTGAGTTTGCGTGTTTACAGTCTTGCTCGTCACAACCACACACAGGAAACAAGTCCACTTCAACTGGCTAGGCTCTAACAGCACAGTACGGGGGGGTTGGGGGGGGGGGGGGGGGGTTAACACCAGTCCAACTCTTTGCAGCCCCCAGACGATGCAGACCCCGAAGTCGACAAATTGAATACTTTCTTCAAAACAATAGCAAGGCAGTCATTTCACTTTTTATATGCCTGAAGCAAACAACCAGAGAGAAGAGCGGAGATGATTGGCCAGTCTCATGGATGCAGGTTCTGCTGCTCTGGAAGGGAGGCGCAGCGGCTCCTCGGGCCTTCGCCTCGAACTCTACTCCACTTCTGTACATAGTCGTCGATTCACAGCAAGAGAAAATGAAGGCAACTACTCTGAATCTGCTCCCACCGCCTGCTTGAAACAAAAGCTTCTGTTCCCTTTTACTTAGATGGAGTTTCGACGCACTTTCAACGTTGAGTAATGAGCACTTGTGGATGAGCGAGCGTGTGTGTGTGTGTGTGTGTGTGTGTGTGCGTGCGTGTCTGTGTTTCGGTTCTGGCTCAATAAAAGATATTTTTGGCAACAATGAAGAGCTTTCAGTGAGACATATTTTAGGTTATAATAGTGTACTATATTCCTTGTCTCCACCGCTAACTACTCCGATCAAATGATGAATCAAAAAAGACCTATGGATGGTACGAAAGGGAAACAGGACTAAATATAAAATGATATTACCCTTATGAAGCGGGTCTGAAGAGATATTACATAAAAAACGTTGTCAGAGTTTTAAAGTTTTGAAATATCTGAAGGTATAGTGGGTGGATCGGTACATTCAGAGTGCTGGACTTGGTCTCAAGGTACCAAAGGAACTGAGCAGGACGGGTTTGGCGGCCGACAAACGCTCCGCAGAAAAGCACCCATCACTCATCTCGTTAAGACGAGGGAGGGTTCAGGATAAAGGCCGGAGGCCGATTCTGCCACGTCTCCCCCTGAACGTCCCTCCGCTCATTTGTTAGCGAACTAAAAGTCAAGACAAAGAAAGGCAACCAAACAAGCAGAAAGTGGAGAGACACGAGAAACGAGGCGGGCTTTGGCCATCACATTAGTCTCCAACTTCCTCCTCCGGGCTCCAGTCACAGGCTGGTGACCAGCTGCATCTGTCCGTCTCCCTCGCTGTGGGCGGGCTCCGGGGCCAGGTGTCCCTCCCCACTCGGTCTCCGGGGCGGAGCCTGGTAGAAGGTCTGCATGGGTGCCCCGCGAGATCCCAGGGCGGGCCTCCCGGAGCTGTAGTACAGCTCCTCGGGAGGCTGGGCCGAACGGGGGACCACCTCCAGGGGCTCGGGGCTGCTGTCGGGGTACGGCGAGTCTCGCAGGTTGGTGATGCTGGTGTACAGGGAGTCGCGGGCCGGGGAGTCCGGCGCCCGGCCGCCCACCTGCCCGCCGGCGCTCTGGCCGCTGGTGCCGCTGTGGCCGAGGCTCTCGGTGAGGTCGGCCGTGTAGCTCTCTGACTCCTCGGGGTCGCTCTGGTAGAGGACGGACTGCGCTCGCTGCAACAGCAGTGGCTCCTCCAGCGCTTTGTAGAGCAGCTCCACATCCTGCGGGGTGCGCTGCCGCCCCTCCCTCACAAAGTCCTCGTCTTCGTCCGTGCTCACGGACAGCTCCGGCCCGGCCCCCGGCGCCCCCCGGCCGACCCCGCCGTGGGGACGTCCCCTGGCCAAGCTGCCGCACACCCGGTCGCTTACGTCGCCTCCGACACCGCCGCCTCCCCCAACGCCGCCTCTCAGGTTGTTGTGCACCAGCTCGGAGATGATCATTTTTTCGAAGGCGGCGGCGTCGGAGAGGTTTCGTCGGATGCCTCCGCCCCCGAGGGCCTCGGAGCCGCGGGGATTGAGGAGGGGCGGGGGACTGTCTCCGCCCCCACCGCCGAGGAAGTCGCAGCTGCCTCCGCCCGCGCCCCCCGGGCCACCGCGCAGAGAGTAGCTGTTGTTGAAGTTACCATTCAAGGGCAGGGTTTCCATCCCACAGGGGTCGCGGACCTTTGACAACGTGCTCTCTGGACCCAAACACAAGTTAGAAGAGAGATGGCAGACGAGAGAGGGGGGGGGGGGTTATTACGATACAGTCAAATGAAAGCGTCGGTTAGAAGAATGAATGTCATTAAATTACGTGAACTACACTTACTTGGATCACGGAAGGTTCCTTTGAGTCCCAGAGAAAGTCATGTGGAGTGAATAAAATGAGAGACAGTAGTCAGTAGTATTCTTTAATGGTGTAACATTAGGTTGATTTATTCATTATTAAGACATGCTGAAAAGGAACCCTCCTCCATCGGCCACTTTTCTTTTCTGTTTCACACTCAACATCAAACCCTCCACAACTTATGCAAATTTGGATCTGTTTGTTTGACACTATATTCCTTCACAATTTACATCGACGCCAAAGCAAAATATTTATTTACCAGCGTGAGTGATAATTTATTGTTAAAAACTTGTACACCAGCAGATCCGTTTATGTCACGACTTTCTTTTAACACACTTTCGCTACCAAATTACCATCACATATTAAAGCAAAAGCCCCGGCCTTGGAGAAAGTTTGTGATATTTTTTTCATTTTCATGCTCAGTATGACTTCAATCAGAGTTCTTCACCAGTGGTGTGGGTAATTAGACATTCTAATGAAGTGCTCTCCCTACTTCCTCTCCAACTCTCTTCTAAAAATGTCTTGGCTGCCAAGCCCTCGGCCATCAGGCTTGACGTATTGTGCAGAGAGGTTTTAAAATATTTAACAGAAACGCCGCCTTATATCTCAGTCCTCCGACACGAGGCGTGATACACTGCGGATGAAAACTCATCCAGCAACCAGCCACACACGCGCATTTATAGCCCTCTGTTACCCAGTGAATATTAGTACTGTAGTGGAGCAATTACCAAAACATTCAGCGGTAATACGCCTCAAAAGAGAGGAGGCGCTTTTAAGAGGAACCTCTGAGACAGTACAAGACAAGTAGACAAACACACACACACACACACACAGACAGACTGACACTCAGACGCAAACTAATCTCCTCTTGTTGATTTCATAGAGTGACTAATTGTCTGTCTGTCTCTATCCACATATCACACCTGAATGACCCACACAGATGGACTGTCCCAGGACACCCAGCTGTCTGATCCTCCTCTACGCGCGTTGCGAGATAAGGGGACTGCTTTTTCTCAACAGAAAAAACATCCTCGAGATTTCTGGCAGCTGTAGCAAAACTTCCAAATCAATTTGTGGCTCTTCTTGTGAAGATTTGAGATCTCACCAGATGGCCGGTTAGTTTCTAAGCGCTGTTTGGCTCTGTCCTGCTCAGCCTAGTACATCTGTCTGACAGCAACAAAGTCTGAAAAACCAACACATAAACAGGCTCATGCACGCACACAGACACACAAACAAACACACAGCTAAAAGCTAAAGCATGTAAGCCAAAGAGAAATGTTGAGATTATATGATTGGTTGTATTTATTGGTGATATATTGATATTTCTTTCTTGTGCGTGCTCTTCTCCTCCAGCAGCGACAGCGTGGAGATAGAATGAGACTAATGGGAATTCACCAATTGACCAACAGCTCTACTGGTGCAGGACAAAGTCACGGCCCAGGTCAGTCCTCAGATCGCCTTGGAAACAATCAGCCAAAGTCTGGCAAATAGCTCTGGAAATCTAGGAAACATCGTCGGACAGTTGCATGCGTTTTAAGGAAATCACAAAGGAGATCCAAACACAATGTCCCGTCAGCAATGAGTTGAAATAATATATATGATGAACTTGAAAGCCTCACTCCACAAATGAAAGCAGAGTTTGACCGCCATAGGGAGCCGACTATGATCTCCGGCAGACTGTCAACCAGAAGCTGGTCTTCATACAGGACCTTCTTAGAGAAAGACTTAAGAAACCCAGGAGTGCACTAAACTGAGACGCCTTTTAAAACAAAACCATTCACACCTTTGTCCAGAGGAAACAACGCGTGGACTGTGTCAAATAAAGTAGGTGCCTCATTCTTTCAAAAGGGACTGTGCTTAATAGTTCCAAGCTTCAAAGGAGCGCAGATCAACACAGTACCACAGACCATTCAATTTGTATATTTTAATTAATTATTTCCCATTTGTTTGAGGTGATGTGGTTCAACACAAAATATGACCAAAACTCATTTAAAAGACATTTGTTACAGCAGCAGATGATTAATTAACTTTACCTATTTAACCCTTTTAGTGATGTTGTCTATGTCAGTTTTAATGCTGGGAAAAGATGCAATGCGATTAAATGCATGATTTTTCTGTGATTAACAGCGATTAATCTCATTATGCGCAAAATTGAATAATATATTAAAAACAAGTGTACTGCATGCTTTTATTTTTTGTTAAAGTAATGTTGTCAGAACAATATAACAGGCTTCCTCGGAACCCACTGCGTTAACACACAGTATATAAATCTTTTTTTTCTTTTTCTGAAGAGGTACAGAAGAAGGAAGATTTGTCCTTCAGCAGGGAACAGCATAGTCTATGTTCAGTAGTAAGGGTTCCTGTTAGAGTGAGCCAAAGTGGTCCAGCACAAAAAAAATACTTTTTAGTCTGTAAAGGCTGTGGATTTCTTTTGAATCTCAAAAATGCAGGTTGAGCGGTTACCCAATGACAAAATTAACTTTTAAAGTCCTCTTTTTTATCCATTCCTCCTGCTAACTAATAGTATGCTTTAACCATATCCTATCTATATCCGTGTGTAATATAGACATATGATGAGCACTCAAATATAGTGATGAGTTTGCGTAGGACATGTCAAACAGGCTTAAGGACAGCTCTTTACGTTATTTGCACACACATACACACAAAGCGACTGGAATGTTCAGGAGCTAACCGGTAGAGTTGAAGACACCAGGCGAGGGGGGTGTGAAGCTCTCAGCCAGCAGAGTGTTGTAAGGAGAGGTGCCAGTGCGAGTTTGTAACACCGGGTTGGTCAAAAGGTGGTTGCCCATGGTCGCTGCAAGACATAAAACATTTGATAAGTGAACGGTCATGAATGGGCTCTTATCTTTGTCTCAGGTGAAGGCAAAGAAACCACGTGCAGAAACACAGCACACAATAGGTGTAACGCTCTGAAACCCAGGTTGCCAGTCTCGATAACAACATCTGGAAGCGTACAAATATTTACTGTTTATTCAGATGGGGTTATTTCTTTTGTTATGCCGGTGCTTTATGGAGTAATGCATTTCACAGTGTTCTCCTTAGCGTTTATGACTGCTGATTGTAACCTTTGAGTAAAAATACAATTGCAGGGGAAAGGTGCTGTTTGGAGGGTTGCCATTATTTTTTTTCTCCCTTGGCTCCTGACAATGAAGTCAGATGGGGTAGAACAGTAATGCATGCCATTACGCAGTCTAGGGATGCAGCCATTGAAACACAGTTAATTTCCCAGTGCAACGTGAATGCCACTACAAGACAAATATAATTCAAGAGAATGGCACACAGAATGTTGTATAATGCCCATGTATGGCTCCAGCCTGAGGCAACTCCAACAGAAATGCCATGAAATTAAAAATAGGACAGCATGACGGAGAGTCGTCCCAGGCAAAGTGCAAGCTTCAGGTCTCACGCCTACCGTTCATCACATAGCAGGGGAGTAGGGAATTCTAAAAATAAAAAATATGGGCTCGCACACAGCTAATTTATTTGTAATTTTCCCCTCCTCTTACACTTGTGCCGTCCATCTTTCTGGCACGCACCACAAAGCCCTCTCCTTCCAGTCTGTCTTGACAACCACACTTCCTCAGTTGCTTGTGCCAGAATTGTTACAAACAGCACCATATTAGCTGGGATTAGCTGCCCATGTGTACCTCATAGGAATATCGAGTAGAAAATAAACGGAACTATCTTCAACCTAAGTAGGGCAGGGAGTCATGGGTGGCTGTGTGTGTGTAGTTGTGTTCTGCCCGTCTGTCTTCTGGACACATTACTTTACTCAGGAAGAAATTGTGATTCATAAAGTACTGAAGTGGAGAAATCAAAAAGATCCAGGATGCCAGTTTTAGCGTCTCTTCTCCAAATTTGGCCTCTTTAATTACTCCTCCATGATAACGTCTCCCTCCCTCCCTCCCTCCCTCCCTCAAGCGCTCCTTCCTCCAGCGCCCTCGTTCGTCTTTCACTTTCTGTCAACTTTTTTTCAGAAGCACGAAAAAATAAAGCTCGTGTTTGACAGCACAACATGGAAGGATCCGCATCGTGTGCTGATTGCTCTGTTGTGACGAAAAAAGCACCGGAAACTGACCCGCGCGCACACGCATGCATCTATAGATACATACACCCTCCCCCCCCCCGTGCAGCCCACTCATAGCTCACTCTTCCTCACCCCCTGCCTTGCTCCTGCCGCTGCCTTCAATTAGAATAATTATCCCCTGTTCATTCGCACGCTAATCAGTTCATTAAAAACAAAATGGATGAAATTAGCATAGAGAGTGACGGCTGATTTAGCGAAAGCCTCTGTTGCCATCATCAACACCCTCCCGCCTTCTCCCGACCAGGAACCCGAGCAAACCTCGGGCGCCTCTGTATCACCAGTCGCCGAGGCTGAGACAGGCGGTGACTCCGTACACATTTTTCACTTCTTAAATAATTGCTCGTGCTTCTCAGGCGCTGTGTCTAGTGCAGCGGGGAGGCCATGCGTCACCGCATTCAGGCAAATAGCAAATGGATGCAATTGATCCCATGGCAATGTGAAACGGCTGAGAGGACAGAGTTCAAACTATTGCCGGCAATCCCGGGTTAACTAAGCAGCTATAACAATATTTTTCTACAGCGATGAATCACAAGATGTGGAATTCTGTTATAGTCAACGTTAGCCGGGTACAAAACAACAGAGAGACCGGAGGAAATCATAAATCCCCGCCAACAGGGAGGTGAAGTTAGGGATAGGACGTGTCCTCTTGCTGTGTTGCTGTGCCAGAATCAATATCTCAAAGACTTGAGGTAATAAACTGTCATACGAGGTCCCAGCGAGCGAGAAATATCGCCAAAAACTGGAAATCACAAAAAAAATCTACAAATTTAGAAAATTTAGTAACGAAATATTCCATCACAACTTGCTATAAAACATTTCTGGTTATCATGGAGAGTTAAAAAAATGAACAATACCCTGCGATGGATGTGATATGATTTGGCCAAATCATATTATTTGTCTTATTGTCCAATGCTATGCACCACCCGCCATGTCAATTTCGTCCACCATACTTTGGCAATACATGTTCCTGATTCCTGATTCAAGCCCTTAATGCTGCTAACGGATATTTCCTGGCTGCCTTTCTGGCTGTAAGTTGATCAGCTCACCTTAATACACCAAGAATGGCAACTATTATTATTTCATCATGTGCATATTTCACACCGAATAACAGTGCTTTGCCTTGGCTGTGTGCCCTATTTCTCCCTCTTCAATGAGTCTTCCCATGAGGCTGGTGTACGTTTAGGCGTGTGCAGCCCGACGCGGGCGGAGCGGCGCAGTGATAGAAGGAGGCCTCACCGCGGTTGAGTGTTGGGGTGCTATTGATATCTCCCGCCATGAAAGACGATTCCGTCTGCTTTCGAACCGTGTCGTTCCACATCCTGCGGATCCGACTCTGGAAGAAGGAGCAGAGCTCGGTGAGTGGCAGCAAACACACGACACGTTAAATATAGAAGCGCAATGGGGGGGGCTTTGTAACTCGGCGGGGCAGCTGCAATCAAAAACTGTGGCACCCGCTGTAATCCGCCAAGAACAATAAGCGAACACGGCCGACAAAGAGAGCGATACGTGGGATAAAGATGCCGTGTCATGTTATCGTGAGAGGGGGGGGCTAATAATCTAGAAATGTGTAAGACATGATTGCAGTCGCTGATCTTTGGAACAAAGCGTGGAAGGTTGTTTGTTGATTGTGAGGATTAACTGTCAGTGTGTGTACAGCATGTGTCATAGAGCAGAGTGCACAGTATGTATGTGTACAGGCTCATTAATAAAGATATGAGTCACTTACCAGTAATGGGTGAAAACATAAAAGTTGAAACAGAACACAAATATATTACGATCTAACTTACTTCTCCACTGAGAACAAAATGTTCTGTGAAAGTACTGGGGTTTTTTTTTTGCCGTTGGCCAATGAACACAATCTGGCCGTGTGCTGCAAAGTAATTTAGGTGAGTAAGTAAACTTGCGTAATCGCTGAGTCGTTTGTATTGATCAGGTGCACTCATGTTGTACTCCAGAATCTTACATAACAGACCTTTTTAAAACGAGGGGAAAATAAAGCAGCAGGGGAAGGAAAATGTCCATTCTTTCCAAAGCTGTTAATCTAATCTTTGTTCTTAACACTCTTTTTTGACAGTGTTTGACAGTCGGATGAAATCACGTTGCCATTTGTTGAAAAAAAAATGACACTTTTCAAACGCCGGCAGTACTCTGGCTAATGTCTCAAGCGTCAAAGATACACCTGCATCCTGTGCGTGCTGCTCAGTGCGTTAATGGTCTTTCCCGCACCTGTCGGTGGGCGGCTGCGTGGCGAGCTTGGCTGCCGCTGTAGTAGCGGTTGTTGGCGCGTAGGCCCGAGTTCTTCAGGGAGCCGTGGGAGCTGGTGGTGGAGGTGCGGCTGCAGCAGTAGGAGTGACGCAGACACTTGCTGTACTCCTTATGGACCTGTAAAGAAGTCTCAGTTTTTAAAAGTCACCTGTAAACGCAAACGCTTTGTTTACTTTGCAAACGCTCGGTCTCGTTTTTTTTGTTGTTGTTGTTGTTACCTTCTTCTGCAGCGCGCAGTGGAAGATGAAGATGAACATGCCCTGGAAGGCGTTGAAGGTGGTGAAGAGGTAGGCCATGATTACCGTGTTCTCGTTGATGAACAGCAGACCAAAAGCCCACGTCATCCCCAGCAGGAAGAGCAGAGCGACGGCCCCCAGAGCCCACGACCTGACGGAGTAAAACAGAGTCACTGAATGCTGAATCGATCTGAAAGCTGGGGTTGATTTACTAGAAGTGATTGAACAATTAGGACGGACCTGATGTTATCCAGGCGACTGGAGTCAGGTTTGAGCGCTGAAGAGTTGCGTATCATCTTGTGTAAAGTGATCATGAGGAAGATGAGGTTGAGCTGAGGGTGGAAGACGGGAGGAATCACATAAATGTGTCGGAAACTTTTACAGTCCGCTTTAAAACATTAAGAGCCTCATAAAGCAAGCGTTGTCAAATACTTTTGGTTTGACTTTGAGAGGGAAATAATACTGACAGTAAAGCTAATACCATAATAACAAAAGAAACGGGTCCAATGAAGCTCCAGATGAAGTAGTTATCCACTCGCAGCCAGCATCTGGAGTGGCACAAAGGAGGAGAGAGCGTTACACACAACTAAGCCCACCGACACACACAGGCAGGCGTGCACACACTGTTTCCCTGTCTCAGCGGATTATTTTATGAAGGCTAATCATCAGGCTTTGCCGAAGTGTGCTCAGAAAAGCCAGTCCGCAGGGAGGTGCAAGAGCCGCTCACACAGCACTGCATATTACATTTCCAGCTGGGGGAATAACATAATCCTACTTCTCAATCTGCAGGTGCAAAAGACCTGTCTTCACACGTACGCTTTCTTGGTCCCATAGCTTCTGTAGTCTATGGCCGCCGAGATGCCCACCACCAGCGCGGGGAAGCAGTAACCACACAGATAGTAGTACTTTTTGCGGGAGTACTCGCTCTCAAAGACCTCCACCAGCATGAGATAGAGCTGCACACCCTCCAGACACATCCAGGAGAAGGCAGCCAAGAAGAAGAAATGCAGAAGGCCAGCAAAGATGGGACAAGCAATCTGAAGGAGAGGCACAAGGGGAGAGAGAGTTGGAGGGAGAGGAAGAAGAGGAGGATTGAAACGTTGGAATTTAAGAATGGAAAATGTTGAGCTCAAGGACATAGTTTTGAAAAATAAAAAATCATGACCTGACTGAGTTTTAAAGGAGGGAATGTGCAGTAGTGCGATTCTTAAAACCAACTAAAATCTTTTAACGGGCGTCAGTCAGTCGGGCGGGAACTCACGTGGTATTCCGTCTTGTCGATGCCGATGAGGAAGAGCAGCTCGGCGATGAAGAGGTTGATGCAGAGGTTCTTGTGGATGGTGTTGCGGTCCGTCTGCAGCCCCCGCAGGAAGCAGAAGGTGGAGATGCAGATGGCTAGACACACTAGGGAGATGACAATCCCCACCCAGGTGATCACAAACAGGATCAGTTCATGCATTCGCTCCTGGTACTGAGGTTGGGAGGATAGTGGAAGGAAGAAACAAAGAGGGGGAAAGATTGACAGAACAGGGAGAAAAAGAGCAAAATTGTTTTATTTAATATTTGTAAATATATGCAAGGAGCTAAAGTGTAGAGACACAATGTCCTGGACTAAAAAAAAAAAGACATAACATTCAAATTCATGTGAATGTCAGCTCGAAGTAGCGGGACATGAATGTCCTTGAATGTCGGGAGTTGAAAAATAGGAAATTCAAAACAAAGAGCTTGTCAGCCTTGAGAGGGTACATTAATGTGCATGTGTGTGAGCGTGTGTGACTGAGATCCTGCGAGCGCGGATGGGGCGTCCGCATAAATTACCCCCGGCTCCCGGATTTCGAAAACCTGCGTGTCCGCCACGCCCCGGTGTACTCACATCGGGCTCGCTGTGAGCCATGAGAACGGCGAAGTTGGTGAGGTGGCTGCAGGAGCAGGTGGTGTGTGTGCTGTTGGTGTGCAACAGCTTGCAGCCCTGCGACGACCACTGGCCCGTCATGGAGCGCTCCGAGTAGTTCCAGAAGGAACAGTTGGGAGTGTTATAGTTTTCCGGCTGTAAAAGAAAAAAAAACAAAACCATTACATTACATATTTTTGAATTGAAGTCGATGAAAATGACAATTAGGTGCATTTGATCGAAGCGCATTGAGCCACCTGCAGGTGTTTGAGGGTGAAGACCACCGGCTCGATGAGGAACACCCTGCTGGACTCCTTGTTGATGGAGGCGGCGATGACGTGCGAGTTGACCGCCAGGCGCTTCTTGTCGTGGCTCGGCCCGTCCACCTCCATCTTCACGGTGGCGTTCTCGGTAGACAGGAAGGATCCCAGGTTTTTATATAGAATGAACACCACCTTGACTTGTCCTGCACAAGACCAGGAGGGAGAAACACAGGAAAGATGAGAGAGAAGGCGAGTGAAGGGAATAGCAAGCGAAGGTAAAGGCGGACGTTATTAGAAAAGGGAGATGCAGACAGGCCGATAAAGGGAGGAGGAGAGGAGGGGGGAAGGAGACCAAATACAGAAATGGGGGCATAATATGGTAATGGCAGTGAGAGTGACAGAGATAGAGGGTGGGGAGTGACAGGATGAGCGAGAGGGAGACGGAGAGAGAGAGTTAGTGAAGGTTAGAATGATGGTAAGGACCGTTTCATTTTGACTGGTGGAAGAGAGCGAGATTTAATGTGGAGGGCAATGGAACATTCATCCCTCAAGCATTCACAGATCACTTATTATTCCATATGAATATTTCATGTGCGTTTGTTTCAATCATTCTAATCTCGTTCCCACTGCAGAGCCGAGCGGGGACGGAGAACAGAAAGGGGTACGGGACGAGGGGCCGCGGGAAGAGAGAAGGGGAGGGGGGAGGGGGGTTAGAAAACAGGGGAGATGAGAGAAGGAGATGAGAGAGGGGGATGAGATGGCGAAGAGACGCAGCGGGGGGGATGAGAGGAGAGGGAGTGCTGAGATTGCTCTGTCAGACTGGGGGCCGATTGTAATCTACACGCCTTCCCAGCTATTCTATTAAGACTGCTGTTAAGAAAGCATCAAGGAAAAGGAATTGTCTCAGCACTTTTTGCTAATCTGATTAGCCTACTATTATGAACCAATAATTTAGTCAACTGCATGCAGATTGTTTAAAGGCGGCATGAAATGGAAACATAAAAGAGCGCCGCACAGGAAAGTGCGATTTCCCCGGCGGTGGGGGGGATGTGTGGGGGGGTGTCTGCTGACCGTTGCGACTGTACTGTTTGATAGTGGAAGCTGAGAGCTGGATGCTGCTGTCGCTGCCGTAATTCTGTGGGAAGGACAAGTCCTGCAGGTCCATCTCTGTGTTTAGGACATGCACCTCCAGATCTGGTGGTTGGAAACACAGCATGCAAAATAAAATAAAACACACGGGCGAGAAATTTAGATTTACAACTTGGAGGTTTATTTCAACAAACTGGAGTTCATTGATAAATTCCTTATAATCAACACACCATCAATGCTGTTTTCTTACCAATGCTGGGCGCTCTGTCAGAAAACCGATTGCCGTACATGTTGTTGGCGAGCAGGAAAGCTCCCTTTTCCAGCACGTCCAGTAGCATGGTGGCAGTGTGCGCCTGCTCTGTGCTGTTCATGTCCTGCCACGACTCCAGGGCCTCGGGACGCAGCAAGTTGTCCACCGTCTGCACCACCGCCTGGCACACGCGGGAGACACGGCATTCTTTGTTATTACAGAGAGCGCTTTTAAACAAAAAAAGAGGTACATGAAGCTCAGAGTTGCGTGCCGAGAGTCCAATGACGAATGAATCGGTTATACGTAGTTTCAGGTAGGGTGTGAATATTTAAATACATTTAACGCTGATGTTTTTTTTCGTTGTGGTCCTTGCGTAATTTGAGTAATAGCTCATCCCGACTTCCTGAGCTATTTCTCAGTCCCTTGGGATTTTTTAATTGTAAGTAACATATTCTACTGCACATGAGGGGACAAAAAAAATCCCTCGGTTCGGATATTCATTGTTTTTGTTTTGGTATCTGCGCAAAAAGAGAATGAAAAAACGCGTCAGTAGCTAATTATTTGACACTCTAGAGACAACCTGTTTTCAGTTTTTAGGAAGTGCTGTTAGATATTAATCAGCCATCTAGTTTTCATAATTGGGTTCTTGATTTGTTTATCACACGCCCTCTGCAATAACTCCTTTTTTCCGCGTTAAAAGTCACCACAATTCTTCTATAATTTCCGAGACACTCACCATTCCTCCACACTACATTTATTACCGTGCTATGTCAGACATATTACTTTTCTATTTCACACTTACAATTCATTTAATGGCAATTTTGATGGTTGTATCAGCCATCCAATTTATTGGAGTAGCCTGCTTGATGAATCATGTAATACTCTTGCTCAGGCCTCTCAAAATGAAGGATTGACTGCTGCACAGAATAAAGAGCATCGCTGTTAGCGAAATGAAACGGGCATCAGAATGCGCTCTGTCGGATAGAAAAGACGAAGACGGTGTTTTTTTTTTTTTGGTTCATCTTCCGAACGGTACGGAGCTGACTCGCAGCGACTGACAGAAAAAAACACCGGTCAGTTACACATCACACAGCAGCTCTTAAATTCATCCTAACAGAGCTGAGAGGACGTGGTGTCATATTGCAGGGCGCCGCGGACCGGTCAAGACACACGACAGATCGCAGAGAGGCACACGCATACTTCATGACATTACGTTACATCTTTCTCCCAAACCAAAGAAAAGGATGGTGTAGTAACGCAACCTGTGACCTTTCATACAGTACTATGGTCGAATTGGATTTTCCCAGAGCCACAGACATTGTACCTCTTTGTGCAGTGCAATGAGAAAAAAGTACAGATCCATATAGGCACAATAATAGTCCAACAAAGCTTAAATTATGACCACAGATACAGGCACACCATAATCAATTGGGAAAAAAAGGACCAATTAGCTTTCTCTGCTAGTCACAGCAAAAGCTACTCTCACTGCTCTTTGGGGGAATAAGCAAGACATTCTGTAAGTGATGATTCCAAAGGCAATAGAGAGCACTGAGCCATAGGAATCTCATCCTCAAAGCCAGTCTACCCGAGGATTTATCTTCCCCCGGTTATTCTAAGTCGCACAGCAGTCCTACTCCACCGGCATGTAAAGCAGGGAAAGAGGAAAGAGAAAAGCTACCTGGATGTAGGCCCGACAGGTCCGCTCTCGCTTCTGCAGCTGGGAGGTGGGAAACAAAGCATGGATTAAAACAGCTAAACAAAAAAAAGAATAATAATAAAAGAAATGCGTAAATTAAGAAGTCACTCGTCCTCTCATGTGCACCCGGGGGGGAGTTAATTCGCATTAACCTTGGCACCCTTTTCTAATGCTTGAATTAAATACGGGTGCCTGAGTGCTTATGCGTGTGTTTACACGGTGCTCTACCTTGTTGTAGTTTCGCGCGGCGGACTCCTTGTTGGCGGGCCTCAGGGCCTGAAGCTGGGCATCCAGTATGTCCAGCAGCTGCTCAATCAGTCGCACCGACGAGCTGACATCTCCGGCCTGGATCCGACCCCGCGTGTGGTTCACCAGCTCTCCTGCTATGTTGGCCGCGTTCTCGCCGCTCTTTATCTGCAAGTGATGCAGGGTCAGTATCAGTGGGTCTTATTTAAAGCGGTGGGAAAACTAACTGTTAAATATTTACACGCGTACTGAAATGAAAAGAAACAGCGTGTTTTTATGGTAGTCTCATGTCTATGATCAGCCCCTCTTGCATCGTTGTGAAGAAATACGGGCCTTGTAGAACGGATGGTGAACTCTGTATGCTCTCTTGTGCTGTTTGACTTGCAAATCGCAGCCGTAGCAACGCCTTTGCAGTTGCAAATGATTTTTACCAAAGGCGAATGTGCAATGTTACTTTTCACTGTGATGCTTCCTTCCCTTCCAGGCACATGGACAAACTCCTGAAAAACTTGAGAGCTGATCGAGGATAGGCATGGTTTAAACATCCGCCTAAGTTAAACACCTTTTAACTTTAACAACACATTTATACGGCGTGAAGTGGGTGAATGTCGGTGAGCTCAGGTAAAATCGGGATGTTTAGCCGCTGCAGAGTAAATGCCAGAGTACTTTGAAAGCTGCGAGGCGATGAGCCTGATTTAAAAAAAAAAAATTAACCAACTGTGATTAGAGTGTTTTCCGGGAACAAAAGAGAGTTAATTAAGTATCGAGAGCGAATGCCTTGTAATGAAGGGCCAGTTGAAATGAGTCTGTTTTAATCAGGCCAGCCTTGGAGATATGCTAATGCCCGCGTGGAGGTGCACGGGGAGGGTGGTCGGGGGGGCGGTGGGGCAAAGGACGGGTGACGGACCCTCTGCTGAGGTGCACGGCTCCAGGTCTCACCTTCTGGGCCACCTGGTTGACCCACGGGGAGGTGCAGTTACTCAGGTCGGGACCCCGCGGGTTCCACATGACCTGCTCGACCATGCAGTGGAACGAAGCAATGCCTGGAGACATTTAGACAGAGAGAGGAGGAGGAAGTAATGGAGAGATAATAAGCATTAGGTGTATGCAATTAAAGAGGACAGTGTGAAGGAGAGGAATGAGCAAAAAAAAAAATCAAATTATTTTCTCTACCTATGAAAAACGAAATGAAATGAATTTTAAAAATGCAATAGCCAAAGTGTTTGAAGATAAGAGGTAAGAAGGAGGTAGAGTAAAAATGGGTCACAAGCGGAAATGGTTCAATAATGGAGTGTAGTGCAGGGAGAGAAAGGGAGGAAGACGGCGGAGCACACATTACATGCAGACGTACCACATGTAATGTGTGCACACTGATACACGCAAACACACACTCCAAAAGACATGATACCTCACTGTGAAATGAAAACACCGAATGTGAAGCGCCCTCCCCCCCAACTCTCATTTCCAGTGTGATTTCTCTTGTTCCGCGGGTTCAGAGAAAGGACACCACGTGGGGATAAGACCAGAGAATGTGTCTACGTGCTGCTGCTAACACAAATAACCCACGCCAAGTCACAAAGACAAGGCTGGGAAAGGAGGAGATGAAAGACCACAGAGAGAGAGAGAGATACGTAACGGAAGAGCAGAGATGACAGACAAAGCAGCGACGCCTCACAGTTGCAAAGGGATAAGAGCAGATGTGGCGTTTCATACCGCCTTCTTCTCTCCCTCCTAATGTTTTTTTTTTTTTTTCCTCCTGTCCCCGGCTTCTCTTCATACTCTCCTCCATCAACCAACCTCCTCTGCCAAGATGCGGCAATTATGCCAGCCGCTAATTTAACGTCTACTGCCGTTCACAGAGAGAACATACAGACAACAGCAAGAGGCGTTGTCGGGGGAGACTGAGCTGGAGGGAGATGTATTTTTGATCGCTGTATGTTTAGAGGACTGTAGGAACCGCTATGAAGGTGAAGCCTTTGTTGTCCGGCATTTCATTTCATTATTTGCCACTTCCAATCAGCTCTGCTTCAGTGGGAGATGAGCCTCTCGTATGTGGAGGACGGGCTTTCATCCGCGAGTCCTCGGGAGACTGTTCCCGGTGGGGGGCCCCACCGCAGGGGCCAGTCGAGGGGGAAAAAAAACACAACCCATGGAGCGCACAAACCCCGCTGATCACTGGGGCTCATGCTCAGAGAGGGGGGGGGGGGGGGGGGGGAACATCACGCTAACATGACGACGATTGCGCACGTAGACCTTCCTCACCTAAAGACCCTTTGGGACACGGGCGATCCACCGTCTCCCCCCGCTGCGTGGTGGGCCACCGGACACCGCGGACCAGCTTGGCCTCACAGACGTGGTCCTCCGGGGCTTGGGGAGGGCGAGGCGGCCGGCGGGTGACGGGGACAGTGGCCGTGATGGGGCGAAGATCGGGGTGCTTGTTGATGGAGCCAATTGGGCGCGAGGTGGGGGCCAGGGGGCGGGCGGTGGACGGGCTGGCGCTGGAGGTGAAGGACTTGGGTGGAGGCGTGGTGGTCACTTGGGTGGTGGTCAGAGGGCCTGAGGTAACCGCCGGTAGGGGCAGAGAGAAGAGACGAGTTAGTTAGAGGCCACGAAGGAGACCCGGCGTGAGTCACAGGAGGATGAGGGGTTTGTTAGTGAGCAGCAAGAGACCACGACAAAGCCATAAAATACCAAAGGAGTGAAGGACACATGCGTGTTGACTTAAAATGTCTTTCAGAGGAGTTCAAAAGTTAGCTTGACAATAATTGGGGTGACAAAATCTTTCTTGAGCCTCTCAAAGCCTGCTTTCTAGAAAGATGAGAGAAGCAGGGGAAGAGGGGTACAGAACGCTTCTTCTCAAGTCAGGCAGAAGTAAATAATTGATCAAATGTATCAGAGAAGTCACCATCACTAACAACCAAGCCTAATGCGAAGATAAAAGCAACAAATCACAACTACAAAACCCTGGCTGATCAAACGCAGAGGCACACTGAAAGTTGCTGCCTGTGTCTCTGGCTCTTCTCTCTCTTGGCCCATAAGCTTCATACGGGCCTTTATGTGGCTCAGATCTAGAACTGCAGTACATCCAAACTTCTCCTCTCATGATGATGGACTGCCAAAATGCAGCGAGGTGTCCGCTTTCTATCCTCCCCCCTCTGTTGTTTCAGAATGCCTTCATTACTTCATTAACCATGTCACAGAGAAGTGCGTCAGCGGTCACACCCGAGAGGAAATTACTTTTCCGGAACTGTGGTTGAGGGATGGATGCACAAAAAAATATATATATATACTGTGGTTCTGTGTGTTCTCAGCGGGGGGTCACTTCTTACCCGCGGTGGGGTCCGGCGGTCCAAACTCCAGCGGGTAGCGCAGCACGTTGTAGTTGTTCCAGACGTAGAGCTGGTTGTCTCGAGGGTTGTAGTCCACGGACGAGATGTACTGGTAGGGGTTGGGGAAAGCGATGTTGACGGGCTCCTCGCGGGCTCGGTTCGTATTGTAGGCGTACATCACTAGGTCGCCGCCCGCTTCGCTGTCATCGTCCTGGTAGACGGAGCGAACCGCGTAAAGCACGCCGCACGCCATGAAGGCGTTGGATGCCATCCTCTTGTCAAAGCTCGTCTCCCAGGTGCCTTCAAAGCGAAGGGTATAAGGGTTCACCTATGGGCAAAGAGGAAAAGGATCAACGCGGCTTATTGTGGGATCAATAGAGCTTGGAAGATGGAAGAGACAGTTTGGTTTATTCTTTTATTGGGGTTACTTCTTCTCTAACGGACTTAATGTACCATGTCTTATATGCCTTCTCAAGTCTATTTGCATTTCTTGAGATACCTTTATTTTAACGTATGCTGTTTTATGTGTATTAAACTTTGAAAATGATTTGATGTAACAGTAACAATGTTTATATAAGCCCAACAATGGCAGCAGCACCAATGGTGCTTCTCTACAATAATATTTAGATTAATAAGCAATTCGGAAAAACATTCAGAAAGTAATTACATTTTCTGCTTTAATATGGAGAAGAGATATTTCTTTCCTTGTAGCAGGTATGAAAAAGAACAAAAAACTTCAGAGAACCAAAACCACTCCTTGATGTTGAAAGTAGTCAACATCAAGGAGTTGTCACTTTGTTATTCATGCAGGGTTTGATATTTTAGATGGATAACTTAACTTGTTTAGTTAGAAAAACAATTTCATGACTAAGTCAAAAACAATGATAATAAATGGGACCTGTCCATCTGACAGATGGACACATTAATTCTAACACATTAATTCAAACTCCTGCAAGCTGTCTGATTGCAGTTTTGTTGGTAAAGGAAACAAGAAATCGCTTATATTAAAATATCGATAAAAGTTCACAGGGATGGATCGTGTTTTTATTTTGTCCAGTATGCAGGTCAAATTAATAGGATCAGTTTAAAGTAGACTACCTAAACATGTCCCCCCCCCACCCCTCCATTATCTTTAACTGCCTATCCCCAGGAGGGCACAAATAAACAGACAACCATTCACACTCACATTCATACCTATGGACAATTAATCAATGAATCTAAGCTGCACGTGTTTGGAGAGTGGGAGGAAGATGGAGAACCCGGAAGGAACCAACACTGTGATATTTGTTTGTAGCCATAAAGAAACTAGTGTTACACCTACAAAACATACAACATCTGTCAGTGCACTTGTGCAATCTGAATAGTGAGTCATCCGTGTGTGACGCATGACCAGTCAGATGAGATTTAGATATGATCCACAGTCTCTGCAGTGCTGCTCTCCCACCTGGCTGACCACCAGTCGTCCATTGTTTGCCTCGGTGGCGTAGATCACCCAGAGGCCGTTCTCGTCCACGGCCAGGTCGATGTCCGACTTCCCCCCCCAGCGGTACGGCGAGGTGTCGTGGTAGTTGGCGTTTGTGATGATGGCCTCGCCGCTCTTGATGCGCGTCCGCAGGTCATACTTGACGATGTTTCGCGTGCGTTCCTTGTTGTAGAAGACCGCGCCATCGTACACCACAAACCCCGTGCCGTCAACTCGGTTGGGCAACCTGTTGAGTGGAGCAGGAGCAGAGGAGGACGAATCAATTAATCTACTGTCGTGACACAGTCCCACACGGTGGCCACGCGGCGAGCGAGCGAGCTGACACCACGGCGGGATCACCGTCCATATCCACTTCAAACGCCAATAAATCAATACAGCAACGGATGCTATTTGATCATCCAGGACAGTGGGAGGCGCCCCTCACTTGTAGGTGGTGGTGGCCCGGCTCTGTTTGAAGTCCTCCCAGGAGGCGTACTCGTACAGCATGTCAGTCCGGTAGGGGGTCCAGGGCATGACGTAGAGACGGTCCCCTGACTGCAGCGGGTCCTTACACCACGCGCCTGCCTGGTGCTCCGCCTCTTGCAAAGAGCTGGCCGCCTGAAGCCGCAGCAGCGTGCCCGGACACACAAAGACTGGGGCAGGGGGAGGCGTGTTCCAGCGGAGAGGATGCGGAGGGAGGGGAAAGAGGGAAAAGGTAGAAAATTAAAAGAAGGCATTGCGTAAATGAAAGATGTCATGTAGATGGCAGAGGGAGCCAGAGGGGAAATAGCCAGAGACCATGAAATATAGAACAGAAGAGAAGGACATTTAGGAAACAGAACAAAGATGTGAGTAGATTAAGTAAGTTGAGGAATTGAAAAGAAGACAAAGAGTGGGAGGAGAATGGGAGCGAGAGGGAAGAGTGTGGACTGAAGAGAGGTACAATATCAGATGTAAACTAAAGGAGCCTATCTTTGCAGAACATCAGCATTGTGGTCGTAAAGCGTCTGGATATGATGAATGGGCGATATCTGGCTGCCACCGCGGCTTAGTTGTCGTCTCTAATCTAATTTAGCATGGCCTACTTTTATTTGATTGTGCATTTTCTATTTTCAAAGGCCTCGGCTACTCGGTGGTAAAACGGTAATTGTGTAGCTTGTTTTATTTAGGACGCAAATTTGGCTCTCAGTCAAAAGTAGTGCCTTGAAGAAAAAAAAGAAAAAAAGCATCCCAGGGTAAAGATGTGAGGTTGGCCAGGCCCTTCCCTCCTTCCACAGCCGACGCTTGGCTTCACACAGCTACTCACACACACTCGGACACAAACAGCGGCCCCGACTGCAAACACAAAACAGATGCACACACCAAAAATACACGGGGACCCTCGGACAAGGAAACACACACACACACACACACACACACACACACAGAGGATGTCTACTTTAGGCTGGCGGAGGTCATCGACTGGGGACTGGTGTAAATTGGCTGCAGGACGCACTGTGTTCCTTTCCGACAGGAAGAATGCCCTGGGAACACTGGGCATGCCAGGTGATATATGAGGAAAGCTGCTGGCATCCTCGCCCCTGACGTCACAGTCATAGTGGCAACAGAGAGAGAGAGAGAGAGAGAGAGAACAGCTGAGAAGTCCCCACATCTCCTCTGCCAACTTATTTATGTGGCTCTCTGGCTCGGGGTTGCGACAGAACCAGACACCTGCTGGTCGCCACATGATTGAACGCATCTCTGAACTAATTGGACACTGCAGGGGCGATAGGACACGGATGATATACAGTATACACAACCACAGACACACACACACAGACACATCCACACACAACCATCCCAATGCAGGATAGTACACGACTATGCATGCAAAAGCTGACACACATGCGTACGCTGTCCCACAGTGACTGTTAAGAGTGATGGATCGGTGTGGGCTCAAACTGTCGTGAATATTGCATGGAGTCTGGAGCAGGAGGAGAATCACAATGGAGAGATGGAGCAGCTTCAGGCTTTTGGAAAGCCAGCGTTCTCTTTCCGCTGCCTGTCGTGCTGTTGTTGTTAGTGGCTGGTGATCTGTGGTGCTGGGGCCACTTAGGAATCAGCCTGTTCTGTCTGAGGGGGTCCAACGGGGATTGAGGCCGGCAGCCAAACAGGCATCTAATCGAGCTGTGGCATAAACAAACACTTTGAATTCAAACTCTTCACAGGGAAGAGGCTTGTCATGCTCTGATGTCGACAAAAACACGGATGCCTGAAGTGTTTGCTTCACAAATATGAACATAAAATATTGGTGGGAGTAATAGTCACTTCCACAAAAAGCCGAACAATATGAACACAGCATGCCAGACAAAAAAAACGGAAGTTAGCACAGTGCTCCAAAGCATTTTAAATAGAGGCTGTAAAGGGTGAGGTATAATCAGAGAAGAAAGCTATGGAGAGGGAAACAAACAACCATTAAAACTAGGACACTGCCTCAAAAGTACAATGCTGGAAATAGAAAATAAACAACATGCAGGTAGGTGACCCATAAACAAAGCTGGGAACACTTTGCCTCAAGGTAGAATAAAGGACACACACACACACACACACACAAACATGTTAGCCGTTTACAGTCGCAAAAAACCTCCAATGTCCAACCAAAGAAGCCTAACTATTCATGTCAATGCTGCCATTCCAATGGATACATGGGGCATGATTTACAGTCAGGGCTCTCAGCTAACCTTCCTCCCCATCCTGCCGGAATGAATGCAGACCATCCTTCATTTTAAATCTTATAAAGTATTGATGTTAACTTCATCATCATTAGTTAAAAATCCTTCAAAGTTACCATCAATATAAATGAAATATCAGTCGTGAGCGCAGTACACTGAGGGGCAGAACAAGCCTTTCATACTGTGCTCATGGCTGAACCGTGTACCTTTTATGCTAAATATAATCTATCAATAGAAGAACATGTCTGATACAATTCTATAAATATACTTATATTGTTTTAATACGGAATAATAATAGTTTATGAGATTATGTCTGGAGTTTTAGACAAAGAGACATATATTGTGTGGTAAAGAGACAAACAAACTACAGTCTGCAACAGCTGGTTGTCACTATAACAAGCCGGGCGCAAAAATATAATTGCACCTAACCCGTTCAGTCCTGTCCTAAATTGGTTGCAGTCCGCACTCTAACGGGCTCATCATCACAACAACACTGCGGCACGGCACAGACCAACCTCCTCTGGCCTCCTCCTGCTCCTAATCCGTGTTTTCTCTCTGACTCTCCTCTCCCGCACCGACCCTGCTGGCACAGCGCGCCTCGGCTATTCTAATGAAGCGGCCGCTGGGTGGGCCCGCCGTTAAAGGAGCCCAGAAGCGGCCGACGAGGACACACCGGAGCACGCACATACGCAGGCCAAACCGAAAGACACAGCGGCCACGCTTCACACCCTGCAAACCCTGCCTAGGGGGGAGGAGAGGGGAGAGGGGGAGGGTTCATTAACTGTGGCCTGCGCTCCACAGCCGTCCTCGGCTACCAGCCTCTCCTCAACTGTGCCTCGTTTTCTCTCTTCCCGGCCTTGCGTGAAGGGCGATTATAGCAGAAGGGAGCCGGAGCAGCCAAACCCTAAGAGTAGTGATTCTAGTACAAAAGACTATTATGAACACAGTGTGAATGAGGTATTAGGTAAAAAGGCATTAGGCGTAAATCTTGAGATTAGGCATTATCCTCGTCTGGCTAGAGCAAGTTAGCTGGAGTACGAGCCATCTGGGATCATGTGAGATAGTTAGATTAATAGATTAATTCCAATGTTGGTGTGCATACCAATTGCGGTAATTGAAATCACTAGGCAGCATATTCATAACACTTCATAACCTCACAAACTAGCCAGATGGCAAATGGAATTTACCTTATCAGGGATTAAAAGCCAGGCTGTAGCTATCATACCCTAGCATGCCAATTACTGCCATACATAGAGGGAAATACCGCTGTAATAATGGACCATTTATCTCCATAATCCCTTCCCAGGCACAGGTCAGCTGTTACTTGTCAATATGAGGCTGCAAATGATTAAAGCGCCAGTACTTTTCAGAAAATGACAGTAAATATCTCCCGTTTTGCTGTAATTTCTGATCGACTGGTAACAAAATGAAAAGTGAGCGCTGACAGCTTCAGGCTAAATTTAGAGTTTTCACTTTGCTTGTCTCTTGCAATCCATGGTGTTTTTATGTTTCATATGACAGCGCCATGGTGATGGTTAATGTAAGACTTTGATGATCTAAATACCGCCTGCCAATGGTTGGCAGCTGTTTCTAAAGTGCCGTTGTCGTTGTTGTTTGTGCTTTTTGTTATTGTTTTTTTTGTTTTTTTTCGGTACAGGGATCTAAGAGCTCTTTTGGCCCGAGCCTCTGCCCAGTTCACAGTCACGGCCTGCTCGCAGGACTGACTGCTGAGAACATGCTGCTCTAATTGAATCCCACACCTGTTACTGGCAGATGCAGCGTGCGGGCAGCAGGGGGCAGAGTAGAGCACGCCGCGTCAATGCCGGACACTTAATGGGCTTTAAGGGCTAGTGTGTGTGCATGAGTGTGCAGTTGGTCTCCCGACCGTTTGTTGATATGCATTCATAAGCCCATTAGTGTGTGAAGCCATGTCTGCATGTGTGTGTGTGTGTGTGGGAATGCCTGTTAGCAGCTTAGAGGTAGAGAGATAAAAGAAAAGGGTGAAGGGATGTGAGCTTGTTCTGCGTGTGAAAACAAGAAGAGCGAGAGAGGATTGAGTAAGAGTTATTTCCTGTGAAATGAGAATCAGGAGTGAGTTAATCTGTTGAGGATTGACATATTGTGAGAGGGAGGAGAGAGAAATAACAAAGGACAGGGAAGGAGCTCCCATTGTATTTCCGCTTCCTTTTAGACTACAAGGGGGGTCAAGTCATGGGAGTAAAAACACAATACAGAACAAACAGCCGTGCAAAGACGTACACACGTACTCCCTCTGACAATGCACATATACACACACACACACACACACACACACACTGTCGAGACAGTGGAAGAGGCAGGTGTCAAACTGGCACCTTTATCAACCCAAACATTCCCCCCGGAGAATACCCTTCACTGAGACCAAAAGCCCGAAACAGCTAGAGATAACGCCCATTGAAAGCAAAGTCTTATCTGCGCTGGAGTGACTGTGACTCTGAGTGACAGGAAAGTTTTTTTTTTGACATGGCTGCAGATACAGTAAAGGACATGGGGGGGAGAGGGGGGAGGGGTGTAAAAATATGGACTACTGACTGTTAGCCTATAGCCCTGCCGGCCACCGCCCTGCTCATCCCCTTCTCTGAATCAGGCGCCGTCTCTCCATAAAGGGCCAGAGTCCAGATTCATATTCATGACCAGCTGCCTCCCCCTCGCTCGCCCCCTTGTTCTTCTGTTGGAACAATGCACTGACTTCTGCACGTACAGTCAATCGCCGCACTCTTCCCTATCTCCCCCGTGCCGCCGCGCGGGGTGTCTGCACCCCGCCTCGGTCACGTGACTGTGCTTGTGCGTGGTGGGTCATCCCTAATGAGGCGATGCTGCCTGACTCATCGTCTCCATTGGGACTGCTCTCCCTCCCTCTCTCCCTCCCTCCCTCTCTCTCTCTCTCCCCTCCGTGTGATCTC